CTGTTCATTGAACACTGGATCGAATAAAGCAACTTTAAAGAATTTCTTAGCTGAAATTTCAGGTCTAATATTTGCATATTGACCATCAAACTGATTAACATATCGTGGTAATCCATCCGGTCCCTCTTCAACAGCATTTAATTTTCATTGAAATAAGAATATGGAATAAGATGGTATGAATACATTGGACCATTTTCACCTTCTCCAATGTATTGTTTAACAGCTTTTCCATTTTCATCAAATTGCATAGGATAACATTCATTATATGCTTTACGTTTAGGATAATCCGTCATTGTTAATTTATACCATTTATGACTTTAATATTTCCTTGACCATCAGTAACGAAAACTTCATTTATACCATCAGGCTTTCCATTTGGTCCTGTAATGTCTGCTTCATGTGCTTCCCAATTTGGTCCATGACGTTTGGCATATGCTTGAGCTTCTGGTAATGTTAAAACGTTTCTCATTTGTTTAACATCCCTTTTGAAGACCGGCAACAATGTGGACTAATTCTTTCATTCCGTCTGGAACTTTCATAGTTCTATTATATGCACCCTTTTTGTTTGTCCCTTGTTTTAATGGAACCTGTAGAAGATTTGCTATTTCTGTCATGTTTAATTATAAATAAAAAATAAAAATTAATTATAAAAAGTTAATCAAATTTAATGGAACCTTTATTTAAATCAACTATTATTTTTCCATGTTCACCTAATTGTTGATATTGTGTGTAAAGTTCATTAATGCTCATTGGTAAATTCACTTGATAAAGCATAACGTTCAACTGTTGACGACTAAACCCACTGAAAATGAAAAGTGTTGATAGATTTGATTTAATGTTTGTGCTTAATGCTTTGAAGTATTGAACAGCCATGAAGAATGAACACTGAATGTGTCGACATTGAGTTAATAATTGATTAAAATATGATTTCTCATTAGTTATTAGTTTTGATTTCACGCATCATCTAGAAAAATTAGTGAATGCAAAAATTCTCTATCAAAATTTGAAATAGAAAGTGTTTCAAATAATTCATCCCTTGTTTATCAATAATTTTATCCTCTAATCCTTGCTTCTTGATTGTATTATATAATTCTTTATACATTAAAAAGTTTTTTAAATAATCTTCTGCTTCTTCTTGTGATAAATAAATAATTGGAATTTTGATTAAATGCTTTAAAGATTCAAATGTATCATCTGAAGGTGAACCTGAACGGTTGATATAAATTAACACATGTGAATGGGGGAAGTGTTAGCAATAATGATAATTTGTTTTAATATCGTTAATGTTTTACCTTTATTTGTTTACCAATTGCTGCAGTGATTGAATTTAAGTAACATTCAGAATATGGAATTTTCATTAATTTTTCCTTAGATAGAGCATTTCTATTATCACTCAATGCTTCATTAATCATATCATCTATGTAGTATTATATACTCTGTTAATTCTTCAGAATTGAAATCCATTTAATCAAAAATAAATTTATAATTTTAAACATTTCTATTCATCAATATTTCATCATATGAACTTCTATACTGTGGTGGTGTACCTGTTGGATGATATTTCAAACCTTCATCCGGTGTCCATGTCCAATACGTAGTCCTAGTAAACCAAACCTGAGGAGGATTTGTCACTTTGAACAGTAAGTGTCATTTTCACCCTGAATGATTGGATAAGCTTTCACTTGTACTGTAACTTGTGAGTTGAAAGTTTCTAATCCATCAAAGAATATACCCGCTCCATCACGTTGAACTGGAATAGTGCATAAGAATGAAGTTTGGTCTTTCCATGTTCTAGCTAATGGCGTGCCATTATCATCATTCAGTGGTCTAGTTAATGAGTCCTCGTATTCTTCTGTGCATTCATTCACTCCATCTAAATCAGAAGCTTGAAGCATACGTGTAAAGAATATGTCGCCCACTGTGGTCATCGCTTGATCGGGGAAGTTTCTGGAATCTATAGTGACCTGAAGACCTCGAAGCATTGGATTTTCTAAAACTGTTCTTTGCATTGCATTCTTCGGAAATGTTAACACAACATCTGTAACATTATGAAGAGCGTATGAGAAATCTGAGCTGATACCTTCAGGAGTGATGCAACCTCCATTTAGTGAACGAACGTCAATATGTTGAGCTGGAATCATGAATGGATCTTCCTTACTGAATAAACGTGGTATTGCTTTAACTGATTCTTCAATTAAACCGTATCCTGGTGTAATGCATTTATCCTCTAAAACTTCCATCTTTGTGCATGAAATAATAACGTCATCAACTGTTGCGTCAGCAGATGTAGCGGCTAAGCTTGTAATTAATTTGGCAGGAAGTCCGATTTGTTGGAATTTGCGATCATATTTATAAACATGATTCATAATCTTTTCATAATTTTCATCAGTTATCTTTTCATAAACGTAATTTTGTAAATCAGCAACTCTTAACGGGTCAACCTGACAAAATACTAAAGTATCCCTGAAAACATAATATTTAAGAATGATTTCACCAAATGATTTAGGATAATCATCGAACGCCTGAAATGCTAACAAATCATTTACCGGAATAATCATATCAAAAGTGATATCAACTTCTTCATTTGCTTTCTTGAAAACTTCTGAAGGGTCAATATATTTACCACATACTGAGTTATCATATTTTTGAACATTATTATATAACGAATGAACAAACTTTTTAACTTTCCTTTCTGATTTTGGTTTATATGTTGCAAATGCGAAAGATTCACGGGCGCAATCCATCTGAAGATAACCGGCATCACCTCTTTCGGTTTCTACTTCTAATTGTTTAAAGCTTTGATTTGATGATTTGTAACCAACGAATAAACGCATGCATTTAAAAGCGGCATCACATGTGAAAGCTTTATTTGAAACTAGAGTTGCTTTAACTTTGCGTTTAATATATGTGTCACCTAATTGGTTCACATCATGAGCCGGATTTGTAATTCTTAAATGAGTTTGTTTATCATCAAAATATGGAGCATCAGAGTCATAGCATGAACTTTCAAGTTCTCTATAATATCTTCTACCGTCATTCTTTGCGAATATTTCATTTATCTTTTCGAATGAATGAAACACATTTCCATTAATCGGTTTAGTGTTTGGCACCAAATAGTTAGTCGTCATTTATTAATAAATAAAAAATCAAAATTAAAAGATGAAAATGAATTTTTAATTTTAATGAAATAATCAACTATGGCTGCAGGTATATTTTAAGAAACTGTGGAATAAAGTAAAAAGAGGAGCGCATAAAGTTTGGGAAACAATGAAGAAAGGAGCAAATTGGATATTTAAGAATAAAGAAGCAATTAGTGACGTTGCTGAATCAATAACACCAAAAGCCGCCCCAATAAGAGAAATTTAAATAAAGGAGAAAAAGTTTATCAAAGACTTCAACCGATACTAAGATAAAAATAATATTTATTTTTCCACTATCTACCTCCTATTTTATTAAGTATTCCTTCAGCTATTCCACCAATTGCGTTACCTGCTTGTGCTCCCATCGCCGGATTACCTGCTTTAGTACCTAATACTCCACCTATGATAGTTCCTGCCGTTTTCGCTACTGGTGCCAAAAAGTTTGCAACGGGTTTAATATTTTTATGAACCCAACCTGCAGCTTTCTTAATTCCATCCCATAATTTTTTAAAGAATCCTGCCGCCATTTCTGATTTAATATTAATTAAAAAATATATTTCATCACTTATATTCTAATTTTTATTTAATGATAAATGAAACCGATTTTAAAAATAAATGAAACAGAGGAGGAAGAAAGTGAAAATGTTCAACAAAAAATAAACGTTGTTAAACCAATTACTGAAATAAAAATTTTTTCATCTGTTGAAGAATTTAATGACTATTATGCTAATAATAAAAAATTATTTGAAGAATTGACAACATGTAAATTGAATAAAATGTTTAAAGTTGATGGATTCAAAATTTCAAAAATAAAAGGGGTGGTTAGTTTGAAATCTATTCCTCAATCAAGAATCACCTCATTAATGAAAATAGATGATTTAACAAAAAGAATAGAAATTATTGAAGAAAGAATGAATCAAATAATTGATTTCATAAATCATGACTCGTTGAGCCCGGGTCCTTAAAGCCCATCACTGAGTTCAAGGTTATATTCATCAAATATTTCATTATTAAATGCAACTTCTGCTAGTTTATTTATTTTTTCAATACGATCATTTGAAAGTCTATCGTTTAATTTTTTCTGAAGTTTTTCATTTTCTAGTTCTGAAACTTTATTTGGATGATATTTAAACCCGTTAAATTCTTTTTCCTCAGTTTTGATCATTAATTTACAAAGAACTTTTGTGGTTGGAATTCGTTTAAACCATTTATCATTAATATTTGTTATAAATTCAATATTCGGAATTAATTCCCAAATTTTTGCATTTTCAATTAATTTATTATCAAATGCAAAAGCAATAGGTTTAATATTAAACTTACCTTTATAATATAAACTTTCTACATAATCATCGAAATAAACATCTACTTGTTTAACATTTTCAAGAATTGGTGAAAGAGCATCCATTAATTGATTGACGGTTACGAATCTTGATCCACTCATTTTCTTACGAATTAAAAAAATAAAAAAAATAAATTTAACTTAGTTTTAATTTTACGTAAGAAGTCAATTTTTTAAATCTTGATTTATTCAAAAACGTAAGAATAAAAACCGTAAGAATCATACATTTTTTACTTCATATGTTAAAAAAATGATACAAAATCGTTCAATATTGTATGAATTCTTACGTTTACAAAAAAAGTCACACAACCCGCATCATATACTACTAATTAATTAAGGCACCCTCATTACATATATAACTTTGGGCTTCAAATTTTTATTATTGGCCGAGTTTGAAAAAATCATGAAAAAATCAACTTTTTAAAATTGAACTTGAGGAAAAATTTTTCAGCATTTTTTGATCGATAAAGGTATTTTTTCTTCTTATCAATACATTGGTACACATATACCCCTGCTATTTGATGAATGTATTAGATAAACTTATTGAAAACTTTGATCAAGCGCATTCAATTTATAATACTAATAAAGAGTCATTCACAGAAGATGATATAAGAAGACACATATTTATTTGTCTTGTGACTGGCATAGGTTTCGAAAAATACGCCGAGATTATGGCATACAATAATATTCATATTCCTTCAGTTAGTACACTTTTTGAAAGACAGCATATTTATGGAAATGTTATTGAAGATTATGTTTTAGCGAAAATTCAAGAACTGAAAGATCGGTTTGTTGCAGATGATGATGATATATATGCATATGATGCTGCTTTTTCTGGAAGACGTGGAGCAAAGCAAGCATGTGGAAATATTGCAGATGTCAAGCATAATTTTATTTGTGAAATTGGTATTGCTGTCAAGGATGAATCTCTTGCTGGTAAATTCAAAACAGTAATTGCTCTTCCACCTGATGCACCTTCATCTATGTTGGAAAACAATATTCTTCGAAAGCTTTTAGAAACTGATACCATGCAATCTGCATAGGGATCTGTTTGTGATGAAAACTCCAAAGTTGCTAACAAATTAGGTGAAGCAGGAGTACAAGCAATGATCTTTCGAGATGTCAATCATAGTATTATTAATGCATTTAATAAGATAAAAAAAGAACAATCACTACTTTTAATACATTTTCGAAGCATTCTCAATAATCTGGAACTTGATCTAGAGCTCAAAATAATAAAATGGAAAGGTCTGAAAGTATTATATAAGAATCATGAAAGTATTGAGTCAATGTCAAAGGATATTGATGCTATCGCGCCCCTATTTTATTTTTTTCATCCCGTTTTCACACAAATTTCAATGAAGCGTATCACGCTCTCAAATCACGACCTGTAGCAAAGGATTGCCCTTGGACAATTGGATTTGTTATACGTTGTTTAGTTGCTGTTCCTGCATACAATCATAGCAACTGAAAATCTCTACTTAGAGAATGTCTTCGTGTCGATGTTTCTCAATACAGTCTGACAAACAAAACTCGAATTGCAAGCATTGAGAAGCGCTCAGAAAAAGACAGGGCAAGAGCGCAGTCTACGGCATACAAATCAACGCATATTGAAATACTGAAGGAAAAGCTTGTTATGAAGCAAAAGCAGAAAGAAACTGTACTTGATTACAAGTCAACGGGGATCTGAGAAATCGTCCGAAAAATTAAAATTTGACAGCGAATTGGTCCGAAAAAAATCAATAGTTTTTAAATTGGAACAATCCTTTATAACAAGTGTATAAAAGCATCATAATTATATTGCAGGCTTTTCATCTTGTGGAATCCTGCGCTTCGCTTGGAGAGATGGCAAAGAACGTTTTATTAATTCGTGTATATTCCAAATACAAAGATAATAATCATACATCAATAATAAACCGTGACTACTCAAGCAGATAATGCCTTATTATAGTAATTTAATACCAAGCTTATGAAGTTATATTGAAATAATGTAAAATATCAACAAATTTTCGGACCAATTCGCTGTCAGATTTTTCACAGCAAAAGAAGGATGTCCTCAAGATTGGATGAGCAAAACATGGTTGCTTAAAAGAAATCCAAATCAATTGAATGAAGAAGATTTTCGATTAGTTTTATATAATTTTCCTTATCTTTATATCAGAGTATATGGAAGCTATGCTGTTACAGTTTTCCCATTTGCTGACACACTTGCAGAAATGCAATCTAAGGTAGGAAATGATGGTATCTTCAAACATAAGATTCCCGAGCATTATCCGCCATTAAAAGGAATAATTGATATCATGTATGAAACAAAGACAGCGATTAATGAAACAGAAAAATCATGAAGAGTCTCATACTTTGTAAAGCCATCACTGAAATGTGAACTCAGTTGTGCATATGATAATGGATATATCAATTCTATTATTCAATTATGCACATTTGTTCCACAATTGAATTCATTTTTTAATCATTATAGTCAAGAATGTTTTAATTCTTAAAACCAGAAATATTTTACACAATCAAGTATTCCTTTGAAAGAAAGGCAAGTACTTGGAATTATGAAAGAATTTTATGATCTAATCAATGGTGATTTCACAGAGAAAGGTATGCCACAACAATTTCTTGTTTTATACAATGCATTATGTGAAAATTCGGAAGAATTTAAAGATTCAATTGCATTTCTCGAAAATTTATTCGAAATCTATCATATATTGGATTCAAGTGTTACAGAATTAAAGGACTTTGAATTATTAAATAAAGCTTTCTATGCGAAAAATCATACAATTTCAATCATATTCGAGGAAGAAAAAATAATTGGAATACCAGAGAATTGGCCAGAAATTTTAATTGTCAATTCAATTAAATCAAATAACTATCTTCTTCCTAAGCATTTCTCTGAAAATCCAGAAATTACTTATCATCCTATTAAGTTCATCATTCAACCATTTATGCAGATTGATGAAATTATATGGTATTTCTTTGATTCAAAGCATTTTGAGATTTGGCCACAAAAAAAGTCTGCGAAGAGATCAATTAACATGTTAACACAACTCATTTCTACATTATTCATCAGAAAAGAAATAGGTTTTTCCCCAATCAATAACGATTTCGTGTAAATCACAGAATTTTTGAGTCCGTAACAAATTTGCCCAGTGTCACTTTTTCTAAAAATGATACTTAGGTTTAAATGTCAAAATGGTTTACATGGCAGAAAATTGAATAGTTTACAGTGTGTTGTTCAAAGGAATGGGACTAATATTTAAACAATAGTTTCAAAATATATATGTTAATAATTATGATCAGTATAGTGAAGCAGTGTTATATCTTCAAAGATTTAGTAAGATTCAAATTAGATTATGCAAAAAAAATTTCTAAACTAACAAACAGAGATTTACAATAAATACTCATAATGAAATAATTACCATACTGAAGCAGTGTTATATCTTCAAAGATTTAGTAAGATTCAAATTAGATTATGCAAAAAAAATTTCTAAACTAACAAACAGAGATTTACAATACGTTCATCAATTTTATAAACAAAGATATACTTACATTATGGATTTAGTATAGTATTCTCATAATAGAGTTATTATTAGAATACTATACTATAGACAATTACAATCTTTGCTTAATTAGTACAATGAATTATATTGGTATATAATTCTATTCTAATAGCGTACACTCCTAATATATTTGAGCATTTATTAGAAGATATAATAATATAAAATAATTAAATATATTTTTGATTTATAACATATTCATTAAGTCATTACTCTATTAATTTTTAAATTTACTTTTAATATTTTCAATAATTAAAAACTAAATTTCATTTCAAACCAAAACCAATCATATTTCAAATAAAGGCCAAACATATCTCAAATTTCGACCACGTTTGATCTCAAAATTAGACCACTCATTTATTCAAAATTCAAAATCTTTCAATTTCGATTTTTTCAATATATCACTTCATTTCTCAATAATGGAACAGGATTCAACTGTCTTTAACTTAACAGAGTTGTTAAAATTTGGAGTTAAACAAGAGATTCAGGGAAACTATGCATATGGAATGCGTGTTCGGTCTGAAAGATCAATTATAGAATATTTTTGCAAACATGCGGGATGCAAAGCACGGTTTACAGTAAAAATTCTTGACCAAGGCAAATACTTACTCAAAAGCAAAACATTTAATGATCAGCATAATCATTCACAGCCAAATTCTGTTCAAAATCCTTACTCATCTGTTTTTTACAGAAAATATATGGAACATTATTTTCAAAACGGCGCAAATAGAGCAATTGCACAGCTTCAATGTTTTAAAGATTTAGATATTCCAATTAATCAAGCAACAATTCCACCAATGTACAGACAAAAGCCAGATGCTTTAGCTCGCTTCTCCCAGTGTGTTTCAGCTTTAAATCATCGATTTTCATCAGATGACATCACATCACTGGAAATTTTTGTTCAATCTATTAAGGATAATTCACCTGACGATTTAATGGAATTCATATCCGAAAATGACACTTTAATTTTTTATTACGCACCTTTTGAAGCAAAAGCAATAGCATATCAAATTGTCACTTTTCATATTGACAGCACATATAAATTACTCAGATCAAAAATACCATTTTATGCTTTAACTGGTAAGTACAAAGAAATGCATGGATTTCCATTTCTTTATTTCTTTGTACAACCAGACAAATCCGAAAATATCCAAATATGTCTTGTCAGATTTTTTGAATGGTGCCATTTGGAACCACAATATATTAGTATGGATTGCGCCCCTCAAATAGCAGAAGCCGTTGAAAATGGAATTCCGGCATGTCACATTTTATGGTGCGGGGTACATGTTTTAAGAGCAATTTTAAGAAAAGTGACAAATTTAAAAACATGGAAACTTTTGAAAATTTTTACAACATTATGAAACAATTAGTTTTCGAACTCAACGCTGATCAAATTGAAGAAGAAAATGAAAAATACGAAGAATTACTTCAACTTCTTGAAACAGATAAAACCGCTTCCGATTATTTTAATCGTCAGTGGCGGTTTAATATTTACAGATGGATTGCAAGAGATCGAGAAGCTGGTGATTCTACAAATAATTTATCAGAGTCACATTTCAGATCTTTAAAACATGATTTCTTCCCGGAAAGAAGAAATATGAGACTTGATGATCTGGTAATTGAATTATATACAAAAGTGACACCATCACTTTTAATCCGACTCAAAATTGAAAACGATGACAAAAGATTTGTCAGAATTATGGAAAAGACGATAAGAAATTCTGAAGAAATCAAAGAAGAAAGAAGACTTCAGTGCATCAATACGGCTCAAGCTTTATTAAAAGTACTCGAGGCAGGCCAAATCGATCCAAATAATGTTTATTCTGCCCTTAAAGTTCTGTTAGCTCGTCATCATTATATTTAATAAATTATATTTTTATATATATATTTAATTATTTTATATTATTATATCTTCTAATAAACGCTCAAATATATTAGGAGTGTACGCTATTAGAATAGAATTATATACCAATATAATTCATTGTACTAATTAAGCAAAGATTGTAATTGTCTATAGTATAGTATTCTAATAATAACTCTATTATGAGAATACTATACTAAATCCATAATGTAAGTATATCTTTGTTTATAAAATTGATGAACGTATTGTAAATCTCTGTTTGTTAGTTTAGAAATTTTTTTTGCATAATCTAATTTGAATCTTACTAAATCTTTGAAGATATAACACTGCTTCAGTATGGTAATTATTTCATTATGAGTATTTATTGTAAATCTCTGTTTGTTAGTTTAGAAATTTTTTTTGCATAATCTAATTTGAATCTTACTAAATCTTTGAAGATATAACACTGCTTCAGTATGGTAATTATTTCATTATGAGTATTTATTGTAAATCTCTGTTTGTTATCAATGCAATGTAGAATTTTTTAGAAAAAGTGACCCTGGGTAAATTTGTCCGGGTCTCCAGAATTTTTCTTAAAAATTCTGAAAATTGCGGAATATTTAATAAAATTTTATGCTTCTTATTTGTTATTGTTTTCACATATTATCTAACCTATAGATACAAGGTGATGTGAATTTTGCATCCCTGGGATGGACGATACACCCAAAGTGTCACCTTTTTTGGGATAACAAAAATTTATATATATGAGAGTTCTGCAAATCATATGCACAATATCTATTCTGCCCGACTTCTTGTATATAGGAGTCAGGCTGAATAGATATTGTGCATGTGGCAATATAAGTATTTCCGAGATTGCCATCGTGCGCTATAGCACACTACTTCTCCTTGGTCCTAGCTCGGTTCCAAGGATATCGGTGTTCAAGGATTTGGCAGGTCCTCCTGAAGTCTCTCATTCGATGAGAGATTTCGGAAGAACCTTGCCTTAGAGTATTCCAACTCTTGTTCTCTTGTCCCTGAATAGTCAGAAAAGCTATTTGACTACTTAAGGCAGAGATTATCCGAGGTCCCTCATTTGATGAGAGGCCTCGGATAATCTCTGCCTTAAAGTTGTACACTTGTAGTCCATCAGAATGTAAGTATACACGGATAGGACAGCTTTCTTCTGAAGTCTTAGATTTGATGAGAAGCCTCAGAAGAAAACTGTCCTATTTTATAATAGGAGGAGTTTCAGAAGCTCCAGAGCTCCCTTTCGTAAGGAATAAGAGCTTTGGAGCTCCTGGTTCGAAGATGTGCTTCGCATCTTTCATCAGCATAGGATATTTATCAACTGGGACTCTGTTGATGAAGACTCAGGAGCTCCAAAGCTCCCTTTCGTAAGGATTAGGAGCTTTGGAGCTCCTGGTTCGTAGATGGGCTTCGTATCTTTCATCAAAAGAGGCCCAAATGGTAAATATCCTCTGCTGATGAGCTTCAGGAGCTCCGAGGCTCCCTCTCGTAACGATTAGCAGCTTTGTAGCTCCTGAAGGTAAGGTAGGATTGCTCTGATCTCTAATCAGTAGATGCCATGCCTCATTATGGACTCTACTGACAAGAGATCAAGAGCTCCAAGGACTCCCTTTTAGCTAGTGGCATTCTCACCATTTAGTAGGATCGCTGATCCTATTAATGAAGTGATCACTTAATATACGTTTTGAATAAATTGAATTTTTTTACAAAAATTTAGTATTTTTTATAAACATCACATATATATTATAAATACGTAAATATATTCTTTAATTCAAAAAAATCAATTCGGTTTCGGGCTGGGTATCCCAGCCCCAAGTATTCAATTTTATTCAATTTTTTTAGAATTTTGGGTTGGGGGGCCCAGACCAAAACAAACTTTATATTTTGATGTGTAGATGCGTATGTGTACATCATTATTGCGTTATATATTATATTTTTAATGAAAAAAAAATCTGATTCAAAAAAAAATTATCACTAATTAGTTGATAATATAAAGAAAAAATATATAAATTGTATGTTTTGAGAGTATTTATCCACATTCACTCATATGAATTTCATTAAATAGTGTCTTTTTACTCCAAAATTTATTTTGAATTATTGAAATCAAAGAAAAAAAGCTAGAAAAATTTCTCGAAATTTTTATTTTTTAAAAAATTTTGGATTTTATATTAAAAACTGACACTGGGAGGACGATAGGGCTGGGATTAGAGATACCCCGCTCACTTGGGAAAAATACGGATCTATAATCTAACCAGAAACAAATGTAAAGAATAATTATATAACATAAGGCAGGAAATTTTAAGTTAATAAAAATGCAATTTTAGTTATATAACATTTTCTAATTAGTGTTATAAAAGAATCATTACTTTCTGTAAAACATCAAGTTTTTATAATGTCCGCCAAAAGATCCAATTGATCAAGAATTAATATTGATGATCCAAAATCAATATGAAAAATTCGAATGTGGTATTCAAAAAATGAATTAGATATTGAATATGGAGCCATCAAAACTTTGTGTACCAGCCAATAAAGTTAGAGAAGTATATACATTATTAGGAATCAAACAAGGAAGCCCAAACAAAAATTTGCTCAAATATTACACAGAATGTGAAGCGGTTTAATCCGATTTTTAAATTCTGATCAACATATCCCTGTTTTCGGTATCATTGACGATAGAAGTCGGTTTTTACTTGCATTGAAACTTTTGCCCAACAAAAATACAGCTGAAACAACAAAATCTGCCAAGGCCACAATAGACACATACGGTTTGCCATTTTGCTTTTGGTCAGATAATGGTACAGAAAATGCAGGCCAGTTCACAATTTTTCTGATGACCAATAAAATTGAAATCAGAAAAACTTTACCACATATGCCAAGGCAAAATGGTTAAATAGAACGATTGTGGCCAACATTGGATAAAAATATTCCAAAGAAGTTAAGAATTGAAAGAATTCAAAATGCTTTGGATAATTTTCGCAATCTTTACAATTCGTATCCACATCGATCCTTGCCTCACAAAAATGGTCGCACAATGTCTTTACGCGAATGCTACAATTCCTGGTGATAAAGCAGAATCGAAGAAGAAAAATGGAGACAGATGGGAAACTGAACCAATTCCTGGTCATTGAAAATTTGAAATCTAGTTTCAATTTTTCTGAGAAACCGTCTTAAAAATTCAGAGTAATAATTTCATTTTTTACAAATTTTAATTTTTTGAATACAAATATCTTTTATTTGAGCACCATATTTAATATATTAAATATACACCATACAAGTCTATTATTCCTCTAAAAAATTTTCCTTGTAAGATAAATTGGAACTCTTGACATATCACATCATAGAATCCCCTTTGGATTTGCATTTTGTAAGGGTGAGAGATGTAATATCATTCAAACTCTCATAGAAAAAGTAATCAATGATTTTTCTAAACTTGAATCTTTATTTAGTGACAAAGGAATATCCATTGAACAAGCCATTAAAGACTTGAATCTTGAACACAAAAATAAGAATTGCCTTTTTCATTTAGCGAGAAGGCAAACATTTTTCAAAATATCAAATTTTATTTTCGGCATTTTTCGATCTGAACATAATACGGAATTCTGTGAGAGAATCAAAATCTTAAAATTCCTAATAAACAAAAAATATCCAAATATATCCAAAGAATATTCAAAAAATTATTTCAAAACTTATGGTAATAATCTATTGAAACTACAAAATTATGTTTCCTTAATTAAATTTTATAATTTTAATTATTTGATCATTTAGTCTCATTTTTTATAAAATCGCTATTCTATCATTATAATTGATTAAATTAACATCTCTTATTATTTTAAACTTATTAAAAAAATAATTAATTCTCGCAAAGAGTTATCTATTTGTACAAATACATTTGTATACACTAGTGTATTGTAGCAGTTTATATTGCAAATAAAAATTTCTTTATTTAATGGGCGCTTCAGAAAAGGCTCTTTTAGGATTTTTTGTCACTTTTTAAATTTAAAATTCAATACTTGTAAAGGCTTTTAAAGATTTTTAAGAGTATTTGGCTTTTTTAGATTCGTGTTTATTTTATTGTTTTGGTATAGAAAATTACCACATTGGAAAATTATTGCGCTACCTGCAATGTACTTTTTGCGTGGTTATCCTATTAATATCTATATTGGCGGAAAAGAATCCAGCATTGCATACAAAAGGTGGCATCATGCTTTTTGTAAAGATTTTAAGGTTCTAGAAATGCAAAACTATATTGATGCAGAGTCCTGTATATCCTACAAAATCTGACATTTGTAAATATAAAAATCCGACATTTGTAAATATAAAAAAATCTGACATTTGTTAAAAGCCCGCCAAAACGGAAAAAGTGCTATTTCTCATGGTTGACCACTGATGGAGTTACCGTCGACTATCAACTTGCTAGGATGCTTCGCAGCCTTTGATCTGGCCCATCATAGTGCTGCTCCATCCATGTCAGCAAGTGATTTCGTAGTCGGATCTCCAAAAAGTCTTCCATGAGGACTCTACAAGTTAAAACTGCTTACATAACCTAGTTAGTATACAAGTCTTGGGTACGGCGGCACTGCGTTCCACCTTACCCAATACTTGTGAATTTGACACTTTACAAAACCGTTAACGTATATTTTACAACATGAACGCAAAAACTAATTTAACCTTAAATATTTACAAAGCCGCCACCCACTTCACTTCACTAACGAACTCACTAATGTAAAAAATAAACGTTCTCACTATCGTTCTCACTAACGACTTCACTAATGTTCTCATAAATTTTCCTCAATATCTTCATCATCAGTGTTAACCCTATTGTAGTCATACTTGAAGCCATAAACTTTCTCTAACTTCTTAACGTACAATTTACATAACTTACCTTCGTCATCGTATGGTTTAATGATATAACTATTTCTATCTTTATACACAGTCAATGAAAAGTCAACTGGTCTCGGATGTATTTGAAAGAACATGTTATGCTCAGGAAGGAAGAA